CGGTCTGTTTGGAACCCGGCAGTAAACGGTCACCACATTTTCGAGATACTGAGAGGGCGCTATCGCAGCCTTTTGCTTGCGTAGGCACAGGATGAAGTGATCAGCATCTCTGGAGCTCTCTTCCTACTAATTTTCGTTATGAAGTCGCGTACAAGGGTGATCATTCTAGCCTCATTGCACCCACCACTATTTTTTTCATTAAAATTCCTCGGCATGACTCTTATGAGCTTGACGTCATATCTCCGAATACTTTGTTTCCAAAGATGGACACATAAAACGTTAGTGAGGACTTTTTAAGTCGATTAGCCACCTAATCAAAGGGGCGATGCAGCAATATTCAATTAAATTGTTTTTTTTGTTTTTTTTTACTTTATACGAGCTTACTGGCACTAGTGGGACTCGAGGATACCCGCACGCAACGGCACTGGCCAAGAAGCACCTTTGTTGCGGTATGTTTTAAGGAGAAAAGCGAGCATTTTCATTGAATTTCTCATTCATTCGCACAACTTGACGACGCAGCTGGGTGGTCGCAGCACCGCCCAGTGTAGATATTTGAATGCGGTTCGTAGATTGGGCCCGAGCATTGCGTGGGTACTCGATTTGGGCTCCTGATAATCGATAGCGCGAGAAGCATTCGGGTAGTGGCCCGTGTCCGATCGCTGCTATGACAATAGCCAACCATAACAATGTTTGGAACTCGGCGCGTGTCCTGTTCCTTGCCAACCCCAGCGCGTGGCTATGATCCACATTGGCGGCATATAATCGCCTCCAGATCACGTGGCTGCTTGTTCTCGCTGGGAGTTGAGGGTGTGAACGCTACTCGTTTTTCTTTAATTTTTTTCCCCGCGACTTCGATTGCGTGTGGTGAAAAACGAACAGGTGTTTCACAGATCAATAGGGAGTTTTCGTAGATCGTTTTCCACGTCCCGCAAGGCCCTCCGCAATCCGCTACGATAGCGGGAACTCCACAGTCAAGGCTATCGGCGCGCAGGCGCAGTAGCAACTTCTTCTTTGCGGAAGGCTTAGCGGAGGGGGCAGCGCGGTCTACGAAAACTCTCTATTAACGTCAGGGATCCGTTCTAAGCGGTATTTCAGCGAAATACCGAAATCGTTGCATCACCGCTTTAGCCAGCTCGTTAGCATACTTTCGCTACTTGACGTTTTTACATTCCCTTTCGCATTTCTAACTGTGCTGCCGCCGCCTGGCGGCGTAAATGCGAAACACAGGAAAGAGGATCAAATATATACGCCGATGGAGTTTCGAACAGGTTATACGCGCGCCGGGTTATTGCACGTGCGCGACGAAACACTCGAAAGGAAACAGTGGCAATAAGAAGCGACTCGTGACCCCAAGCGAGCCTCCGAGCGCCTCCGCCAGGGTCTCCGTTCGCAGCCAGGAGCGGTGGCGTCTGCGGCGCTGCGGTCTCTGTGGCAGCTTCCCGCGATGGATCGTCCGCGCATGTAGCGCCGACGCAGACACCGCCCGCTGTGGTTTCCGTATTTCCGTACAATTTCTTTTTTCTTTTTTTTTTTCTTTCGATTTGGTTCGGTTATTTCGGAAGGGTGCCGCCGAGCGCGTTGGTGAACTCAGCGCGGAGAACGCACTGTCGGTCGATGCGAGAAATACTTTTTTTCTTCTTCGCTTCCGGCGGATATTCATAGATACAGGTCTACGGCGAATAAGTGGCGGAGTTTCGGGCATTACCCGCGGGGCGTAGGCGACCGAGATTCGTGCACGTAAAAATGTCATTTGCTGGGAGGGTATAGCGATTACAGGGGGTGGGGGGGGGGGGGGGGGGGAGGGAGGGAGGGGAGGGGAGGGGAGTACAGCGTTTACAGCGACGGAAATGATGAGCAAAAGACATAGCGAGACAACTCTATTCCGTATACGTATACAACCGCAGCCAGAGCTATATTCGAAAGCTATATCCGCTCGTCGTCTTTTGGGTGCCTTTGCTACCGGTGGCTAAGTCAATCGCGCAGCAAGAGAGTCTTTACAAAGAAGCCCGCTCTGTTCACACACCAGGCGTCGGCATCACCCGTGGGCATTACCGTGCGCAGAAACCAAACTCGGGAGGAGTGAAGCGTCTCTGCGCATGCGCAGTACCGACAGCAGCGCTAGCGCAGTGGTGTGACGCCCAGTGAGTTTAATTACTCTAGTCACGCTTTTTTTTTCCGTGTGCTATTATAGGTTGTAGTCGGTGACCATAACGAACGCAGAAAGACGAATTCCGCCGTGACGATGCACTTTTGGCAGTGCGTGATTGGCTACGTCGGATGGTGGCGCTGGCTGCGTTCGGACGTAACATGACAGAGTGTATGACGTAAGCAATTATATTTCGCGTTCTTTGTTTACTACTAAAGAGTAAGTCAATGCAAATCTAAATTAAAAACGAAACAAAAACGTAATTGTCCTAAACGCCACGAAGCTCAATAAATAGGTCGCTTACTATGAAACATTAAAGCCGCGCTTTTTTATTTTTTTATTGGAGCACTTTTGATAACGCGATAGGCGATTTTGTTATATCCCACTCAATGAAAGAAAGACGTTGTTTCACAAATGTTTGAGGGAGCGCGGTTATTTCCCTTTAACTACTAGGGAGCTTTAGGAGCACATAGAAATCTCGCAGACTCACTGACAACTTAACATCTCGTTATGCATGGCAGACAATGAGATTGGAGTTATTTAACCTCATTATTTACTCGTAAGATTTATTAATAGCTCGTGATCAATCACGAGCTCAACTCCGATCAGCCGGTAATTAAGGTTAATACTAACTTACAATTCTTACATAAAAGGCGGTTTCGTGAATAACGGCCCCGTCGAGGTCGGTGTGCCCTGGTGTTATTGCGATGTATATAATGGGACAGGCTTCGTTTCACATCGGATTTCAGAACCCAGGAAACACACGCAAGCTCTCCGACGAATTCGATGCCACCTGATCCAATGCGGGGAGTAAGTTCGTCTGCTTCTTTTGTAGGGGTTGTGGTGACGTCAGAGGGTTGTGGTGACGTTAGAACGCCGTCCTCTGATTGACTAATTGAAGGATAGTGGATAGACCCATAGTCTCCTCTATAGTGACAAAGCCTGGCAGATCGCTACCAGAAACGGCCTTCGAAATAGAAAAGGTGGAGCGGCAGACAACGGATGAGAGGAGAGCCACGTGACTGGCGCCCTACTGCGGCGAGACGCCGAAACAGGCTTCTCACGAGCGAAAAAGTGTGTTTCGGGTCCTCGCCGCTGCAAAAGCTGTGCGCTGACGTCCAGGTTCCCCGAAAAATGGCTCTTTGACGCTCTGTGCTACCAGATCCTCGCGCTCTAAATCTGCGACCGGACACTCTATGGCTCCGTCGTCGAACTGCCAGGCTTTGTGAGCATAGAGGAAGCTATGGAGGAAGCTATGAACCTCGAAGAAAGCTTCCTTTGAGGTCTACCCACTACCCATCCATCAAAACCAATCAGAGCTCAGCGTTCTGACGTCACCACAACCCCTGCAAAAGGAGCAGACGAAACCGCTCTCCGCATACCTCGCGTCAGCGTTCCTCGCCAGTGGATCTTGTAGCGCCTCACAGCGGAGCGCGACGCTAGAAGATGGTGACGCCAAGACGCTTTCGTCGAACTTCATGCCTATGTTTGCCACTTAGGGAGGATCGGGGAGCCACTGTCGATGACGTCATGCGCAGGACTTGGTCTTCTTTGGATTGTATTGCCCGAAAACTCGGCTTAATGAATCGGAAGGTATTGGACTGGCATGTGCACTTACCGTCCGTAATGGGGCAGCCTTCGAGAGGCCTACGCCACGCCGACGGTCGTTCGCAGTCATCGTCCTCCCCTTTTGCCCTGCAGGGGGGAATAGGAATTGTGCCCAGAGCAGGACGCGAATTGTCGCGGTCGAATAGGCCATTACGAGGACGCGTTTTTATATCCGCCGTTAGTCTAGGTACGTCCCCTCCGACATATATATATTTGTTACGTTTTTTTTTTGTTTTTTTTTTTTTTTGCACGTCGTTGCTTAATGCTTTACCGACGGTCCCTGGACTGTAGCCAACTCGGTATGCAACGGCGATGTCGTAAACTTTTCTATTTTTGCTCCATGCATTCTTCGGAGCTAATATTCGGAATTGTGAATAGGCGATAGAAGTGCAATTTCCGAGTGATGAAAATTTGCACTGAAAAAAAAAGAAAAAAGAAGACACTATGCGGAATATAAGTTCGTCTGCTTCTTCCACAGGGGTTGCGATAATGTCACAACGCCGAGCTTTTATTGGCTCATGAAAAAAAAAAGAGTGTGTAGACCTCGAGGCATCTAGCATTGAGGACTACCCACTATCCTTTCAATCAAAGCCAATCAGAGCTCGGCGTCCTTCTGACGTCAGAGTAACTCCTGGGCAGGAAGCAGACGACTTGCTCTCCGCGTAATGATTGCCACTTATGAGGTTCACGCTTCTTGCTTTGTGATTGGTCCTTCAGCTTTCGTATCGGCGAATACTCCAGCATCTGTTGGAAAATATGGACATTGAAACCGTACGCCTCCAAACGGTTTTAGGGAACCGTTTTTGCACATCCGATACGGTACGAACTGCGCATGTGCGAGTCTGCTGCGGTATAGCGCATGCGCAGTTCGTACCGGAGGGCCCATGCTGCCTCAGATGTGCAGAAGCGGTTTGCTATAAACTCTCTAGTATAGAAGCTGCAACACACGATTCAATATTTACCTTGCGGTTTTTAACAAGCTGCACTGCGTTTCCGTTTGTCAAAGCGGTCGAAGAATGGGACTTAAACTTGGCGTTCAAGCCCTAGTTTGGACCAAAGCTTCTTCAAAAAGTTGTAGATACGCCAAAGAGAAGCAAAGAACTGTTGCAGCTCATATAGTTCCGCGATAGTACGCAACCTGCCTGGATTACGTCTGATGGAACACTGGTGATTATGTACCACACCAGTGTAATATATAAAAGTGTGGGGATAACGCCTGATATCACCATTTCTTGCTCCAACGCAGGCCTTCACCGCTGAGGACGTCGGGACTTGTCCGTGCGTCGCCATGTCTGGCAGCGACGCCAGCGTATACCTGTCGGCGGTCCGCTGGGACGACTCGGGCCTGCCTCTCCAGGAGTTCGTCCACAAGTTCCGAGAACCCCAGGTCGGCCGCGTCATCCGGGGCCAGTACCGGCACGTGGGAGTTCCGTCTCTCTCGTCGCCGAGTCTCAGCAGCGTCCTGTTCCTGTCGCCGCTCGGGCCTCGGCTCCGAATCAGCGCCCAGTGCGTCAAGTTCAAAGAGAACCGCCGGGTCTCGACCATCGGCCCCCGTCTCGCCATCCCGGACAGCTACAAGGGCTGGTTCGAGATTCTCTCCGAAGACGGCCGCTCGTCCAGGTGCTTCGAGAGCGTCGCCGAACTGCTGAGGAGGTCTCCTGAGACCTGTCTGGTGCGAGAGGCCGTCAAGGCACACCTAGCGCATCCCGATGACCCTGAGACGGTGACCGACAAGACGCGGACTCTGCCCCTGGGTGAGACGCTCGTGGTGATCCGGGAAGTGAGGGCGTCGCTCGGTAGGCTCAGGTCCACTCACGGGAGGTTCCTCCGCTGTCTCACTTCCGGGGGAGACACGGTCTACCTGGCGGCAGAATCGAGGGGCAAGTTCTCGCCCATCGCCAAGGAAGGCAACATATCTGGAGTCCACACCGTTAGGACCCTACTCTGCAAACGGTTTCCGCTAATGGTGAGGCTTGTGCACGGACGACCGGCCTCGGGTCTCAAGACATCCGAGCTAAGGCTATACGGCATCGAGAGGGAAGACTACATCATGGCGATGCCACTTATCAAAGACGCGCCGCCGGTGACGATTCCCCAGTCGGCCTTTCTCAAGCTCCAGGCGCCCAAGAACGCCGACGTCCTGGTGACATTGCCGGAGTACGCGAGGCTGTCGGACAGATGCAACAGACTCGTGGACCGCATGGATGCCATCGAGGTCCTGGAGACGACAAGGAGCAGCAGCGACATCATTAGGACGCCTCCATACAGGAGTATATCGGAGCCCAATTCCAAGAGCCAGACACCCACGTCACCGACGGCTGCTCCGGCCGTCGAGAGGCTGCAGTCTACCCCTGCCCCGGACGACTATCGCTACGAGGAAATAGACCAGATATACGACTACGTACGAGGTTTCGCTCCTTTACCGGAGAAGATCAAGGCCGAGCTTCAGGGAGGCGGCGAGGTATTTCAGAAGGCGTGCCCAACCTCCGGTACTACCACCGTGGCTTCGGGTTCTGCCAGGGAGCGACCACTGCCACCGCCAATCGAGACCATCCCGGCACGAAGGTACTCACTAGCAACGGACCCGGGACCTAATCCACCGCCCGCGGTTGTCCTGAAGTCTACGAAATCCAAGGACACGGATTCCCACATCTACGAGGCCGTCACCAGGCGCTCCGAGGAAAGGGCCTCCAGGGGCAGCGTGATACCATCCAAGGTGGCACTTCGATCCGTACCCAAGCCTCCCAACAACAAACTGTTCGTGAAAAGCACGCATCCGGTCCGCAACGGCAAGCAGCGCATCTTCAGGAATGCCGCAGTCCCGATTAAGGACGTGGCCGTCATGCCGTGCCCGGTACCGCATCACGACAACCATCACAACGGCCACCCTCACCACCATCACCCGAACAACAAAGGTGGCAGTTCGGCCATACTGCAAAAGGTCGCTCGTGCCAAGACCTGTCGCGGTGGCAAAGCCGGCGCAGCTACCGCGGCCAACAACATCAACAATAACAACAGCAACAACAACAACAACAACAACAATGCCATAACGACGTCCCCACTTTTCAACATCCGGTACAAGTCGCTCACCAACTTGGCCGTCGACTTCAATGACACTCTCGACTCCAGCAACTCGGGAGGAGGAAGGGCCTCCTCTGGAGGCTCCGGCTCCAAGGGGTCGAAGGAGAGGTCCCCGCCGCCCCATAAGCTGTCCCGGCCCAAGTCACTCAGCAACCTCTTCTGGGACGTGGAGGTGAACAACAAGTACAATCTGCTGCACAGCAACGAACTCAAAGCAAACCAGTTCATCTACGCCGACCTTCCCGCCAAACTAGCCGCATCTGAAAGGTCAGGAAAGAGAGTCGGCACCCTGTACCTCTGAGCCAGGATACTCGTCGTCGCAACCTTCTCCCTGTACATAGTGCGCCTGTCAAGACGTCCTAGGGCCAAGCTCAAAGTGGTCTCGCGTGTCGTGTAAACGAGTCGTACGTGGTGAGGCTACATCCACTGTAATAGTCACCGAAAGTCGCGGCTTCGAAGCTGCTGGAAGAACTTGTCAACGCGAATGGCTGCCGCTGCTGCAGTCAGACGACAAGGACCAATCAAAGGATAAGGACGTTGCCTGCGAGGGTGTGCATAAGGTCGGCGTGAAGCCTAAAGTTTCGCACGCGGAAGCTTTGTAAGGATGTGGTGTGAAAGAATGTGCGCTCGGCACTCTCTAGGCTCTTCGAAGTACCCCTCCTGGACCCATGAGATGTGCGTGTTCGTGTCTGTGCGTGTCTGTTGAAGTCTACGAGGCTGCGTTATGACGTCAGGTTTCGTCAAGATCTCGCAGAAATGTCTTGCGGAACTCAATCACGCAGATTAATCTGACCGCCTGCCTTCGTTTAGTCCGTTCCTCGTTTCAAGATGGCGTTGCCAAGACTCGCTGCGCCAAGAGAACATTGATGATTCGCAGCGTCCGCTTATAGCTACTGATGAAGTCTCAGAACTGAGTTTTTTTTTTGTGTTTATGTACGTTCGCTACTGAGTACTCGGAAGGATTTGTAATTTGGACTAGTACCATACGTGTTTCCTGCGACTGATTTTGTGTTTCCAGCTCTACATCGCTCGCTGTGTCTTAGGAGCCTGGCGCGTCTTGTGACATCTACTAACGTTGTTTTTTTATATGTTTTTTTTTCTAATGCAGACGACGACGACGTAAAAGGAAACGTGGCGTCTACCTTGTGATATTTGTTTTCGCCGAAGTCGTCATAGCAGATGTTCTTAACCCGCAAGCGTTAAAGCCTGGTTTACACAGCTGCGTTTGGAAGTGCTCTATAGTTCGTTGCGTTTCCTTATAGACAAACTCAACTCTCTGACGTCATGCCACTGCGGTGGCGCTGTAGTCAGCACTGCGCATGCGCAGGCACGGACTTGTTTGTAAACAGCGTGTTGTCCACGACGACAATATACTGGCGCCATCTGTCGGGTAGTCCTAGAACTTGCGCGTAAAACTACGCTCACGGAGTCGGAATATTCTTGAGATCAAATCTCGCGCCAACCATGAGAAATAGCGGCTTATAATATTGCCAGAATGATTTTCAAGCACGCGATAAAATAATGATGTGTAAGGAAACATAAGAATACATTAGCGCACCGAAAGTGTTATAGGGTTAGCTCATAGATGGCGCCATGTGAACCTGTGCTCTCTTGCCGGAAGAGAACGCAATGCATTCGAACACACGCAAACGCAAATGTGTGATCCAGCCTCGAGGCTGTTTTATTCCCGTCACAACGGGAGTTAAAAAGAACCAATCGCAAGATTATTGAGGAAAAAACAAGGAAGATGTACGCCAAGGCAACACCATTGTAACGCTCGTGAAACGGTTGTCGATGCATTTACGAGCTGTTAGTGTCAATAACGACCTGTCACAAATGACTCGTATACCTGCTCCCTTTTTTTAACAGCTGCCGTTTGTGCCATTGCGTCCGATGGTAAAAGCTACGATGCTGCACATGCAAGTGACTCGTTTTTTTACTCTAGTGTATAAAACAAAAGAAGCAATAAATTCTTAAAAAATAGTAAAACGTTTCTTGCGCTACTAATTTTTTCTCTGCACCGCGGTGTATGTATTGGCCAACTGACATCCTACTGATATTCTAGTTCTACTGACCTGCTAAGCAAGTCCTATGAGAAGGCTGGGCCTATGGCAGTTTATATACCAAAGGAAGTCCAGTTGAAAGCAGGATAACCATAGGATGTTACTACAGGGGCAATATGATGTCAGTGGCATATATCTTTTCTACAGGAGACGTTATGAAGAGCCAAGGACGCCCACAGTCATACCATGCTGCTTCGAAAGTACCAGAATGGTCGTAATAGGGACCTGGGAGGAGCTTAGGACGACCCCCATAGCTAAATCCTAGAGATCCTCTTATTTCCGTAGTTGCCTGACAGGCGGGCAGAGGGCGCTGGCGCACTCGCCACACCTGGGTGGCTCCGAGGCGAGAGCGTCGGCCTACGGATCCCCATGTGGCGGGTTCGAATCCCGGCCGAGGTGCCCGCAATATGACGGAGGCTTATTGCGGAGAAGACGCCGTGTAACCGAGCTTTCGGTTGCACGTCAAAAGATCTCCAGGTGGTCGAAATTAATCCTCAGTCCTCCGCTGGGGCGTGCCAGATGCCCGCCGTTGGTTTGGCACGTAAAACCCCCAAATTTGACTTTGACTTTGGCACTCGCCACACTGGGGTTACTTCGATTTGGCTGGTTGCAGATTCAGCGTCCGCGCGATTGTTTGGCTGTTATGTCGTTTTCGCTTAATTTTGTGATACACATTTCGTTCTCGTAGGACACAGCGAATAAAGCAATGGTACTGAGCCACATACAGAATTACGTATCGGTTTCGAGCTTAAATTGCCAGCATTGCGTGCTTTTGGCTGCGCGTGCACCGAGGGGTACGGAAGTTAGATAGGCCGCGCTCAACTAAAGGTCTGTTCACACGATGCATCTTTTAGGCGCGCAACAGTTTCGCGACACTCAAGTTTCGCGAAATGTGCTCGTTCACACGTACCGCTTCACGTGCAACAACGATCACGTTTAGACTCGCGAAAATAGTTTGGGTGTTGACCATAAAGTGGCGCTTCAGTTGAAAGCCAACATCATCATCATCACCATTAGCCATTCAGCGTCGTGTTCTCCATCTCCCGCCACATTCTAAGAGTCAAAACGCAGGCGAGCTGGTGAACAATCATAGTTAAGAAATAAAACCTTAAGACAAGGAAACAAAAAGGGACATACACGCCACCGTCTTAAAACCAGCACAGCATACAGCTGTCATTTACTTCCATTTACTTCATTTACTCTTAAATTGTCATTTACTAGTTGTTGAACTGTCATTTACTGCCATTTACTTTGAATATATGTATAATTTGGATGGAGGTTGACAAAGAAGAAGACTGTTGTGTAAGTAAATGAGGGCTCTACGCTGTGGTGGTTTTGAGACGGTACTGTGTACGTCCCTTTTTGTTTCCTTGTCTCAACGTTTTATTTCTTAACTTTGACTAAAATAGACGCGAATTATCGTCATCACCAATTACGTCTTCGTCCATCGCTGGATTTTTTTCCGATATGCTACTCACTTTTCCTTCAGTGGTGCTTGACGTGCTTGCGGAAGCGCCGGCAGTATCCATCGTTCGTGGTTTCGGTTTTTTTCGGAATTGGCTCGGCTACAACACCGGCAGTGAAGTGGTCTTCTCAAACAGCTCGCTTCCCCATCAAAGGCCACGTGAAAGCGTTTCTGAGCGGCCATTGGCGGCGCGCTCAGAGTGATTGACAGGAGTCGGCAAAGTTTCAGCAAAAGCTCGCTCCAGAAGCGAGGTGTGCGCGCAACTTTTTTTAGATGCGCGCATCCTTTTCGGACTCGTTCAGACGGCGCAAGCATTTCGCGAAACTATGTTTCGCGACACTAGATGCGCGAGAAAAATGCACCGTGTAAACGGGCCTTAAGAGCTTATATTCTGCCATAGCCTCCACTATACTGACAAAGCCTGGCAGTTCGACGACGGAGCCATAAAGTGCCCGATCGCAGAATTGGAGCGCGAGGATCTGGTAGCACAGAGCATCAAAGAGTCATTTCTCGGAGAACCTAGACGTCAGCGCACAGCTTTTGCAGCGGCAAGTACCCGAAACACAGTTGTTCGCTCGGGAGAAGTGTGTTTCGGCGTCTTGCCGCAGCGGGGTGCCAGTCACGGGACTCTTCTCTCGTCCGTTGTCTGCCGCTCCACCTTTTCCGTTTCGGCGGCTGCTTCTCCTGGCGATCTGCAAGGCTAATGCCACTAAATAAAATACGCTTCAGAGTAAGGACACTTGTCCATATTGTGCCTTAAATTCTTGGTTGCCAGTTATCTGAAGCTATATCTGAAATCACAGGAAACGCTTCTCCGCCCTCAACAAATGTTTAACCGTTCGCGACAGATCAAAGCAATATTACATGAGCTTCCTAACACCGAATCCGATGCTGAGGAAGTCGCACTTTTGAATCGTGACGAGGGGCAGTTGCGTCTGCTCTGAACAAGCACCGAAATGGCGGCGCCCACAACAATGTGGGGGAACAGAGTGCCGATACTCTAAGCGCAGCTCATTTAGTGGCTCTATGGCAGGCTTTGTCAGTATATAGAAGGTATGATCTAGTCGATCGCGTCTCATTCTTCGCACGAGATTCCTTACCTAAAGAGTGTATACATATCTTACACCTTGGTCTGGACTTAAGCTGGAACGCACTATAAAAACTACAGCTTATGCGGCATGTACACCACGTCCGAATATACACAAATATTAAATTTATTACATTTGTATGATGAATACAGGGTGTTTAATTTAGAATTTCATGTCGTTTTTTTAAATCGTTAAGGCTACCCCCAATGCATTATATTCACGTAAGTTATTCAATCAGAGGGAATTATATATGGGGCCAACCATCACGATAAGCTGAATAATTAACTGAAATTTGTTGAATAGCTTTCATTAGCAAAAGTAAATATATGCCAGGTAGCACAAGAGGTGGGGCCATATGGAGCTCACGTGCGCAATACGGGATCGGGCAGCCCGTACGAAACCCACGTTGGACCCACGTGGGCATGCCCAATATGGGCTGCGCACGATATGCCGCGTAAGGTACCACGTCCGGTATGCGAGGGCAAAGTTGGGCTGCCCACGTAAAAACAACGTGGACCCACGTCGGCCCTCCGGGGACCAAAGGCAACGATATGGTCTCCACAGGGCTAGGCGTGGGTGTGCCCGAGTTGGGCTGCAGATGTAAAACTTCCGTGGGTCCTACTTCGGCTCGCCGGGGGCCAAGTTTACAAAGATTGAAGCTCCATGGCGGAAAGCGTGGGCATGCTCTACTTATGCTGCCCATATAAGAAACCCGAGGGACAAAGGTAACAATATAGGCCCCACGGCGCCCAAGCATGGGCGTGCCCGAGTTGGGCTGCTCATGTAAAACCCCCGAGGGTCCCCCTTCGGCTCAGCGGGGGCCAAGTTTACCCCTGAGAGACCCACTTCGGCTCTATGGGGGCCAAAGGCAACGATAGGGGCTTCACGGCGGCTAAGCGTGGGCATGCCCAAGTTGGGCTGCCCATATAAATACCACGTGGAACCCACCTCGGCTCTAGGGGACCATGCTATGCGCTCCACAACGCGTTAGCGTGGGCGTGCCCGAGTTGGGCTGCCCATGTAAAATCCTTGCGGGTCCCTCCTCGGCTCTGCGGGAGCCAGCTTTACAAAGATGGTGGCGCCATGGCGGCAAAGCGTGGGTATACCCAACTTGGGCTGCCCATGTAAAATCCTTGCGGGTCCCTCCTCGGCTCTCCGGGGGCCAGCTTTACAAAGATGGCGCCATGGCGGCAAAGCGTGGGCATACCAAAGTTGGGCTGCCCATATAAAACGAAACACGTTTTATGTTACTTGGACTGGGGCCAGCTGAACTTAGAGGAGAGATGAAGCGTGAGAAACAGGGACAGAAAAAGACATAGACACTCCAGCGGAGTGTCTATGTCTTTTTCTGTCCCTGTTTCTCACGCTTCATCTCTCCTCTAAGTTCAGCTGGCCCCAGTCCAAGTAACATGCACCAACTGGCTCAACTGAAACCCGTAACTCACGTTTTATGGATGCCCGTTCCGTTCGTGGACACACACGTTCTGTCGACACTGCGACGTTTCGTAAAAGCACGTTTCTGACAACGCTTTTTTTTTTTACCGAGTGGATTGAATTAAATTATTAAATCCGTTATGTTCGCTGGAAGCATATATCGCAACTAAAGCAGACTCACCCAGGCAGCTCCGGTAGGTCAGAAACGAATTCGCGAGCCCTAATCCTAAACTATCCAAGCAGTCCGCGCTACACGCGACCACCAACCTGATACAGGGGTAGGAAAACGGAACACGAAGGAAGACAAAAAGAACCGGCAACGATCAAGGCTGCGTGTGTTTTTTTCTGTTTTTTCCCCTAAAGTGAAGGCCGTATTAGAAAGCGCGCCTTTTCATTCTAGTCCGACAGTGGTTCAGCCTTACACCACCTAGCCTGCACTTTGAGCACTTTTTAAATAAAACATGTTCAATCAATCAATCAATCAATCGTTAAGCAATATAGTTTCAGACCTGAATTTGCACCAGACTTCGTCGGAACCGTCACGGGTTCGGCAAGATAATCGCGTCTGCAGCTCGTTGCTCGCCCTCCCGCGGCGGAATCGGGAAGCGCTGTAGTGAGGGTCCCCGATTCTCCTGCTCAGCGGGCACGGCAGAACTGCTCGCGATCATAGCTCGCGAAAAGTCATTTCCGAATGCAAACAACACTCTTCACTCTCCCAACGTAGTGCTGCAGCAGTTATGGGATTGTACATTCTGAGAGAGGTTTAGTATCACGTATAGAAACAAACGCAAGCGGTGAGCGTTTGCGTAAGAGTTGCGTGCCCCAGATTGTGCGTGCGCCCAATCGCCATGCGCCAATCCAAGACTGCGATTTTGGGCTCCAGGCACGCGATGTGTGAAACACGCAAAGCTAGTGCAAATACACAGCGCTTGCGTTCAC